TCGCACACTGGCACATCGGCTCAAGTTGCCACACCACCGTGATATCAAAGAGGATAAAGTAGTGTGAGAAAATAAACAATCTGAAGATAACGGTTAGTGGAAATATTCAAGTGAATATATCTGCATCATTGTGACCGATTTTCAGGCATGTCATCAAGAGTCCTCAACCACTGATTACTTTCGTCTTGGGGACCCCAACCAGGTAGTCCACATCTTCCCACACAACTCAGACCAACAGTGAGAGACTGCATCAACTGGTGCCACGTCCTGTTTTCGCCACTCTGAACTCCTTCCCAACTTAATCCAACTTCCCCCAGCATGGAATGTCGAGGTAGACCGTGGATCAGCTTGTGCAGCACGTGTCCAAGCCATCTCACTCGACTAAGGTTCACAACGTCGTCAATCGACTTGGCTGTCTTGACTAGTACCCTTCGCCTGACCTCAACATTTCTCACATGGTGATTTCACCAAACCCGAAAAATGTTACGAAGACACCTATGATCAAAACCCTGTAATCGCTTCATGTCTTCTACTTTCAACGACCGTATCCCATAGCTGTATAACAGGACAGAACGGACTGTAACGTAGTATACTCGTCCTTCGATAGATATTCGGATATCTCACCAGTCGGCACCAAAAGTTGGCAAATGACAAAGCTGGGCTTTTGTACCCAAGCTGAGATTTTGTCAGCAACCATTCCGTTCGGGCTAATGCAACTCCCCAAGTAGGTGAAGTGGTAGGAACTTCCCACTACTTCACTGTCTATCATAAACTGGGGGCACTTTCACCAGATGAATCCTAACGCGGCATCTTATTCTTAAGAGATGTGATACGCATACCGAACATATTCAGATTTCTGCTCAACGCGTTCAGAAGACTTCGCTCTGCGTAAGTGTCTTTACCTAGCAAGACACTCCACGCACACACATGCACACTCCAGGTCAACCAAATGACCTCCAGGAAGTATGTTATTTTATGTGAAGTCAGACGTACCATTAGTACGTCTGTGACGAAGTCAAATAGGAACGGCGACAGTGGGCATACGCTACTAGTTGTCAATTATGAACACAACTCTCCGTAAGCCCTGACACGGCTGCGTGGGTTCGAGTAGACAGCTTTCAGTCAGATCCTGTCACAATACCTTGTGGTTGACAGAGTCAAATGCTGCCTTAAGGTCAACAAATATGGTAAATGTCGGCCGCCAGTAGATACGTCTTTGTTCTATGACCTGGCGTAGGGTAGAAATATGATCGATGCACTCTTGCTCGGATCTGGAACTTGCTTGGTTCTCTCCAGTTTTCTGTTATCGAGCTCCAGTTAGGAGACGGATGGCTATGGTCCCTAGGAACTTGAATACTATTTGGTAAAACTGTCTAGTAACTGTCACGAGGTTTCCGGCACTTCCTATAGACTGAGATGATCAGTGACGTAGACCAGTCTGACGACACCACCTATGATTCCTATACATTTCCTCCTCACTGTGTAGTTCAGTTGAACAGCACATAGGAGACTGTTAACTGGAATCCAGTATAGTGCGTTTTCTGAATGGTACCTAATGCTATGCCAACACTTGCAAGACCGCGAGAACTAGTCACTGAATCTCCAGAAATTTGAATGGCGAGTTTTACTGATTCACAATATTGACAAAGTGGGGTTAAGTGGATAGCCACACTCGGATCTTGCGTTTGTGTCTCGCTTCAGATGCTAGCGTTTTGGTTTAGCGAAGTTTGCTGACCGAATTAATAGAGGGTACGGACGTAGAAAGCATCGACACGTGGTCTGAGGGTGCGGTTGCAGCAGATCATGTATAATATTTCATGAACTAGAATCGTTATCAAGAGCTGCAGAGCTGAAAGAAATTAAGGAACGAAGTAGGAATGTTGATTGAGAGAAGTGAAGGAAGATTAAAAATTGAGGATGAGGAAGGTAGATGGTCATTTGAGGGAGCTTGAGTGCTGCTGGAGTTGAAGGCGGCTGATACTTCCTAGCTACCCACACTGTGAAAGGTTTTTTGATGTAATTAAAAAGAAATTGTGTTGGCAGTGGCTGGGCGCAGCCTCAAGGTATATCTCCTTGAGATCAGTCACATATGATATTTCTGGAAGTTAGAGATCTAAGTTTAATTGATCTTAATTAAGCTAGAAAACCCACCGGCGCCGTAAGACCGCAGTGCAGAGAGAAGTGTCGAAAAGTTAGCACTGGTGTGGAAGACATGGTATTTCTCTAAGTGCTATTCTTAAATTCGATCTTTTAAAGTCTATCCTTTGGTAGAAAGGGAAAAATTAGCATGGGCTTTATCAATTTTTCGAAAAGAGATTAGAAGCAGAAAGTCTATAACTTGGCGTCAGTCCATCAACCCTTTTTCAGGTGATCTGACCTGTTTGGGGAAGTGTAGACTCTAATGCAAGATAAAACAATATTAGAGTATAACTGAACATAACATAAGCAGAAGGGTCCTCGAGACGGAGGGAATCAATGGTTGAGAACTCTTGGTGAAATGGTTGAAAATCGGTAACAATGGCACATATATTCACTCAATGACACCTTCTGAAGCTTGAATATTCGCACTAACCTTTATCTTCAGATTGTTTATTCTCTCACACAACTTTGTCTACTTTGATATCAATATCACTCCTTTTCTATCGACCTGTTCTTTCTGTACTACTGTAAGTGTGGCAACTTGGGCCAATGCACCTGTATATGAGGTTCTACGTTGATTTTGTCAGTCATGTTGTTTATTTGATGTGACACAGTGACAGTATTATTAACTGGATGACGCTATTAGCAGGATTTATTGACAATAAACATATCCAATGCAGATTTTCGGTTGGAGTCTGCATGACAACTGTCAGTAGTTGAAGACTCATGATAACACGGACTGAGGTCCATCTCAGTAGCCCAGATGCATCCATACATTGCCTTTATCGTAACCAGTATATCCCATTTCGTTATTGGCGTTGAACTCTCCATGATAACTTTCTACTATTTTTGGTTGCTTGCTTCCTTATTCCTCTTTCATCTTTTGCCTCGACAAACATGTGTGAAGTTTGGTAACCGATACACAGTAGCGCCAGGTCCCATGTCGATAGTGAAAGTTCGGTGTTGAGTGAAAGACAGAACAGGACAAAAATGGACACTTCATTCAAAAACCAGAAAGTTGGAGAAACTTCTAGATAAACAGAAGAGTTCGTGGTATGACTTGAATTACACTGTACCACGATGCATACAAATAAGAACGAGAAATACATCTTTTTTTATTTCTATGGACAGATACAGTCATTTCATCTTGAGCAATTATACTTTCTTAGAAGTCTCGGTTTCCGATCGTACAGTGGGTTGAAACGCCTACTAATGCAATAATGTGCTAAAAAGTCCCATGATTGCAGGGACAATCAAATGCAGTTCCGGCCGATTCAAATACTGGTTCTATCAGTGCAGACGGTATCCCTGCAGAGTAAGCGGAAATTGCTTCAAAGACTTCTGAAGACAATGTAAATAACTTCGAATAAGGGATGGTGAGTGATCATACCTGTGGTCAAGAATAAGATATGAGCGATGTGCAACCCACTGCAGATGAACTCATGCAAAGTATTGCTATACTTCCGGATACTGTAGATTTCAGTAATTTCTGAGAATACTTCATGCATCGAGCGACCGACGATACTAACAAATAATAATCCCATTGAAAATGAACATGATTTTGTTCATTTAAATGCGGTTGATAAGCTCAAGAAAACAAGTTCAAGACTACATTCATATTCCCATTCAGATCCATTCGACACACTTCCCATAACTCTTTAATGAAGAAACTACTACTTAAATCTCTTAGTTAATGCAAATGTCAAAGAAGAAACACTAGCATCTCTATCGTGCGTTATGGACTCCACATTTGGGATTACTATAAACCTTACGCCTTCGGATACTGAAGACGTCAGTACATCAGGATTTCTTGGCCACTACTCGCTAATGATTTCACATTATTCCGTAGTTTAGGAAAAACCCTTTTTGCAAGATGTGCTGAGTTGTGACCGTTCACGCAAATGTGAATTAAATTCATGACTTGTATGTGATGACATCAGAAGTGCTTAGGTGTACGGCAATATTCTCGTCGGTTGTACCTGTTGTATGCTACTATGACATATTAAAATCTTAGTGGTTATCTTTGAAGTACTACTGAATCTATGGTATTAGAACTATATCAGCGTAAAGGGGTGTTAAATACTGTGACTGGATTGCTTTTACGGTCCCAACTACAATCGACGTATTAAGATAAGTCTCTGTTCTTGCTACTTCATTTCAAATCACTGATACTAGTGACTACCGAGTGCAGAAAGGAACAGCACATGAGTGAAAAATTGTAAAAATTGAGTGTAAAAGTTGCACGGCAATATAGGTCTCGTGTATAACCCTTGATAAGTCAATGAAATGAATGTCCAGCGAATGCTGGTGATACGGTTTTAAATCGATAGCATTATGATGTAGGTCCACACAAAAGACCTTATATACGTGGTGACTTTTAGTATAGATATACTCAACCCTAAGACTTTGTCATGCGGTTTTTCTGTCTCCTGACATTAATATTCGTACTTCGCTTTCGTTCCTCTTGTTGATCTCAATGGTTATAAGTATGGATTTTGACAGGGTTCAGAATTGACGTTCAACAATAAAGTTGGTTCAAGACTATTTGACATACAGAAAACACTGGCATACTGCACTTACAACTTCAACCGAAAACAACACGAAGTGTACACGTACACTTTTCCTACGCACATTGTATTTCAAACTGGAACCAATCCATATGCTGGATTCATCCAAATTTTATGCAAAACTAGGACAATTAAATCAAAAACACCAATAATTAACCAGGTGTTACTTAATCAACAAAATAGTGCGACCACTGGGTTGATCAACTAAGAATTTTGTCATCAGATTACGTTCACTACGTTTGAATTGCAATTAAAACAGCTTTAACCTTAAAAAACATAAAGTTTGACGCTTACGATCCCCATCTTGATCCTCCTCAAAATCATCCTCCCCATGAAGATCAAGCACATCTGCCATTCTCGAATAGACCACACTAATGTATGTAGCACTCCCTTCCTTTGCGCGCCAAAGTTGTCCGTACGTCAAAACGCTTCTATTCAAAATTGAGTATATACTAAACATGACATGAGAACCAAGTTGCGAAACAACCAAGACTGCTCATGCATTCCCCTAAACAGTCAAAGTCTGATACTTAGGGAAACTATTATTATTGAAATTCCAACTGGTTAGGCGCTCTCGACCTTGAAGGTCATACACCAAGCGTGTACAACCAAAGAACTTTGTTTACCTAATTGTGGTTAACATGAATAAACGAGTGAGAAACTTCTTACGTTGAATAATATGTTAGTGCGACTGTTTTACGAAAAGGATAAGGATATTTCCCTCTCACATAAATTTGTACCAGTCACAGGCAATAAATATTTTATTCTGAGGTTATGAATTCAACAGCAGAGAGGCCGGTTTGCAGTCACCAATAAATTGATAATGGTAGAGAAATCCACGTAATTTGAACCGTCCTGAATGGTACAGAGGGGGGGACATTAAACCCTGTCATAATATCAAGTGTCTGAAAGTTATGAAAAGAGCAGGAAAATATCCTTTTGAGTTTAGACCATTCCTACTCACAGTTCTTTTTCCCAGTAAAGTGGTTTCGAATCTGCTCAACATTCCGTGTTTACGTCGTGAGTAGTCGACATGATTGACTCGACAGCAAAATCCAATGTTTTGTCAGATAAACGTCGTAAACTTCAGGATCAAAATTTGGTCTGATAGAGCTGGATGAGTTGAGCATTGGTTAATTGGATTATAAAGGCCGTCGTATGTCCATGTTTTTATCAGCCAAGAATAAATCACTTCAATGTTTTTAGTAATAAGTAGGTATCCATATAATCACTTATTTAGGTGAATATATAAGCCCAAGCGTTTCCCACTCTCCAATTGTTATCGTCCCCAGCAATTCAAACTCATAACGCTGGAAATATTTTATAGGCGAAGATAATTAACTCTGGAAGAACCGTCTTCCCATAGTGGTGGATATTATACATATGCAAAACTCCATGGATTTGACATTGAAGCATTCAGCATCGTCGAAGAAATATATTGGCTGTTAATGGCCTTCTTCGGAAAGGTTCGTACAAGACAGTGCTGAAAAGACTTTTGCATGACATTATCGTGAATATGTTGCCTTCAGAGTCGCTACATAAAGTAATCTTGTAGGATTTGTCCTGGTGTGGACTTGACAGACGCAAAGACTAATCATCACTTATTCGGACTTGTTATATACCCACAAGTACGAGACCAAGGAAGAACACGATAGCGTAGTCGGATGGAATAGTATATTTGGGTGGTTGTGCCAAGATACCGATGCGTTCCAACTAACTGGCTAGAGAGTCGAATACGAGCAGTGCAACGTAACATGACAGCGTGCCAAATGGCGAGGATGCTTGACCGGGTGCCTTCAGCTTAGCGAGTCCAGTTAAACTATCAAGGTCAGCATCAATGTTGAATGTCGTCGAACCCTAGGCTATTGATTTTGGGGAAGTGTGTGAGGCTACATTCCCTCAGATTTAATTGTTTACCCAGATTCCCGCTGCATTTACGGTGGGCCAGGTATCAGAAACCGGTTGTTTTGCTTGAGGTTACGCATGCGGTATCATTTTTGGTGTTGGCAAGCAGGTGGGTTGACTGTTAGGCTGTTCGAGAAGTTGGGGATCGGGACAGGTCGGTTAAAGAATTCTAACAACAGTTTTAAACGCTATGCAAAAAGTAAGATTTTCAGTAAGTTGATGCTTTTTATTAAATTAATGCTTGAGATTTTTCTTGTCAGGTTGATACTGAAAAGGGCAGAGAAAAGAATGCGCACGGAACAGCTAGACTATGGAACACCACGTAAAACAAACTGGGAGGATAGAAGTTCTTGTCCTTTTTGAGTAATTCGAACTATATATAAACTTTATGCACATGGTAATAACCCCTCTGTTTTACTGACACTTTTACTCAGGTTATTAGATAGGCGGTTTTCGTTAGCAAACTTTGGGGAAACATTGGCTGTAAATTTTTCCAGAATGCCTCTTGACACTTATTCATGTAATGTTACGAAGGAATCGTGAGTTTCCTGCAATGCCCTACTTCCGAACAGTTGACTGGCTCCATTACGTCCACTGCAGCTATGAACGGTGTAGGAAAACGCTGGGGAATCACTACAACTTTATCTACAGTGGAATTTCACCATTATTCCCAGAGCTATTAAAAGCGATGCAGAGCATCATGACGACTATTGTGGATATATGTTCATTTTATCACGAACAAACAGAAATAGAACCTCACATCAAGGAGGTGATATACTGATATCGGTACTGTTTTCTATTGTATGTACAGCATTATTCGGCATTTCAATGAACTTAGTGGTGCATTTCTTGTCAATAATACGTAAAACCTCATGTGGTACTTCCTCACATGTACAAGATGTTTCAAATGAAAACGCCTGAGTAGTTTGGGCAGCGTTACTTCCTCTTTAGAATGAACTTGTCAGATTGTTTTCCTTTCTTCCCGGGTGATGCTTTTGCACACTCATTAAACATAACTTTCTTTTCTGCCAGATAGACTGAAAACAGCAAAAATTCGACGTTTAACTTCAAATGCACTATTTATACGTGATGTAAAATCTTTCTTTCAGACTGGGGGATTTCCGCTACCTGGAGCAAAAAGGAGATGGCAAAAAATTTTTCACCACTACATGTTATGACCGTATCTTCGTAAATGACATGCGCCTTTAAATTCAGGAGTAAATTATCATTATCATCATATATTTGTCCTTTTCAGACCGCACAATCCAACCAGTTGAACTAGTGATAAAACACCCGCTGTGAGCCCATGAAGTGAAACGCACTTGAGATTTATGACAACCTTACTTTACACGTTTAGAGGTTCTAGTATATTTTCACTAATAAATAGGTAAATATTTTATCCTCAAGTTAACAGGTTACCATGAGAGAAGACAGTTTACGGCCATAATCAAATTGGCGACAGTGAGGGAATCTCCATTGGTTTAGCTGTCCTCAGTGATACGGAAGGTGTCGATTCAAGGTCTATCATGACATCGAAAGTGACTGCAGGTCAGGAAAGGAACGGAAAAACATCGCTTCACAGTACACACAGATTGTTTATGGGTTCCGGTCGTTTCCGCTCCCCACAGAGATACTTGAAATACTAAGCGAAACGTTTAACCTTCCTTTCACCAATTGTAATCGTAGCCTTGCTACACTCAGTGACACCAGAGCGAGCACCTGAGCAACGTACTCGAGGCAATAAACTCTCTGAAACCCCTTCCTAGTGTGGGAGCAGATGGAATACCTAGCACATTCATTAAAAATGGCAGCTCAGACTTTCCCATATTGCCAGCAAAAATATTCAGCCTGTCCTTGAATTCTGGCGTCCCCAGTTTCATGGGAGACTAGTCATATTACTCCGCGCTTTCAGAAAGGCTCCAGGCTCTGCTCGGAAAATTACTGCCCCATCAACATAATATCTGTCTTTTCGCGTATAATGGAGAACGTAGTGAAAAACGCCATCCTTTCTCACCTTCTAGATCACAAACTCATAGACTCCTCGCAGCGTGGATTTCTGTCCAAGAAATCTTGTATCACGTGTCGCCTAAAATTCTTCGAACACGTAATTAACGGTGGAGACGATGGAAGAGTGGTTGTCTCACTTCACTTCGATTTCACCACAGCCTTTGACAAAGCGCATCACCCCTCACTCCTTCAGAAACTGAATTCATTTAGAATAAGTAGCAAGTTGCATGACTGGATTGGCTCATTTCTGTTGAATCGCATCTAAGTTGTCAACACACTCACATTGTTCCCTTCCCAGAAATATCATCGGAAACGTTATCCAAGGCTCCGTCCTCAGACCCCTTCTCTTTATAATACATATAAGTGATATGTGTGCCTGCTTTCAATCAGGAAAAAACCTCCCTCTTTGCGGATGACTTGAAAGTGATGTACACTTTTCACCCTAATGAATGTGGCAGCACCAGTACCATCATACAAAACGGCCTTGACAAGCTACGAAGATGGTGTGACGCGTGGCCGCTACCTCTGAATACATAGAGGTCAGGCCTTATGTTCTTCGGTGAACAAAGCGTGCCAACTAATCTTCGACTGGACGTCATTGCACTCCAACAGCTGGGTAGTATCTGCGACTTTGGAATAAGGTACTCCAGTGACCTTTCCTTTGCAGAACACGGAAAGGCACAGTGTTCCGAGTCACGCCGCCTCATCGGCTCCATTCACCGGAATTTTCATCTGAATGGAACCAAACCGATTCTGTGCAAGGTGTGTGTGCGACCACCACCAGAATACTGTCCTATTGTACTTAGTTGTCTGCGGTACAGTGCCAATCAGAAAATAGGGAAAGCTTGATGACACTTTACCAGACTTATTTTCCCCGGTGGTTAATACGGAGGCAGATGCCATGCCAATCGACTAGATCCTATGTGGTTAGAGCGAATAAAGTTGAGCCTCAGCATTTTCGATGAAGTCTTACACCATCAAGTGACTACCGATGTGGATACAGTAAAGTTATCTGGCAAAACCCCTACAATCTTAGGGACCAAGACTGTCTAGTCACTCTAGCGCACACGTCCAAACAGCTCAAGTCTTCATTTTTCGCAACTCGTTACGCCGACATTTCGAAAAGACCGCTGCATGATGTCCGATACTTCGAGAGCTTATCTCAGTTTCGGTCGACCTTAAACCCACAGCCCAATGACCTTGGAGTACGCAGGATTTTTGATGTACCCCACATAGACAACACCATGTTCCTTGTTGGCCCACCAAATATCTAGAGTCTGATGAGCAATAATCTAATGTAACCACCCAAGAATTTATCACACGGTTTACCTAACCAGCAATTCGTCCATAAGCAGTCCCAGTAATCGCATATGACCGTGCACCATGCGACCAAATCCATGACGAATGCACACATTCCAAGGTCACGGTCGTTCTACCCTCCCTATCTTTAAGAATATTTGTTGGTTCAAACATTAGCCGAATACTTCCTATTTTCGCATTGGGCTTGCTTCAGTATGATGAACAATCACGTTTCATTCTTTGCCATCTGCGAAGCGTTAACTTTCCTTCTTTTGAGGCATCTTTTATGTGCCGGGAAAAACGGTGTCTATTGTATAGCTTGATATCGTACATAACAGTCAGTTCACACT